TTTTTGAATCTTATATATATATATATATTCATATATGCAAATCTCATAACCAAAAAAAAAATCATGATCTGTTTGCTAGAAAAGCAAGGTAAGCACTGAACAAAGAATAAAGCTCCAAGCTATGAATAATAGTTTAATAAACTGGCTGTGAGAAGCCACTTCTGTTCTGAACTGAATAATACATTCGCTACTAAAGCTGTTGGATAGATTAAAAAAAAAAAGGAGGCGATTTCAGAAAACAATTCAATATCCTTTGCTAATTGCTTAAGAGATGCTTTGACTCCAATATTTTCCACAGCACAAAAGTGTTTTTGCAGTGTCAGCCTTTTAAATACCCCCTCTTTTTCCTTTTCTTTCCTTCTTCTTTTAAAGTACAGGAGCATCAGTGCCTTCTGATATCAGAGCTCCTTCAATAAAGGGCTAGAGGAAGGTCAAATGATGATTAAGTAGTCAATCTAGTAAATAATACTGGCAAGGTGATTGAAACCATCTCCCCACTTACATTTTCACACAGCGGAATCATGTCTGGACATCACTAAACTTTTCCATAACATTAGAGTTGTTCATGGGTGCACTGCAAGTAGTCCTCAGTTAACAACTGCAACTGGGACCGGCAACTTGGTCATTAAGTGAACACGAAGTGAAAAATCACAGGATTGCTAGCGTACCTAGGATTTTACTTCAGCTTTCCTTTGCTTTACAGCAGGGGTGTCAAACTCATGGCCCGGGGGCCAGATTCATCACGTGCTGGCCACACCTACCCCCGGTTTAGTGAAGGGGGGAAAAGTTGAGATACGTCACATGACGACGATGTGATGAGGTGAGTTTGAGACCGCTGCTTTACAGCATCAGAAGGACACAACCCCAATGGCCATGGATGAACCCAAATACTGGGGAAGATTTCCAAAACTTGACTCAGATATAAGAGCAGATCGTATAGTGCTTTTTCCTTACTACCCCACACTTAGGAATGCTTACCCCACTGTTGGGACAATTATCAACAAGGGAATTCATGTTTGTAGTTATATCCATTGCAGAGGAAGGGATTACAAGAGAGTAAGCAAGAACACAATGGGGAATAGACATCAAAAGGCTGTGCTAGGACCTGCAGTTTGCCTAGCTCATTCATGGCTTCCAGCTACTTGGGAAGAATACTGAAGCCTTTAATGTGAAACTGATTAGGGTCTTGTCAGTGTCAGGCAGCAGCAGGAGCCAGCAAAGAGTTCTAGGGGAAGAATTAAGGTCACAGAGTTGAGCTTGGATTAGCACTTTTTAGGGAAGAGCTGCCGAGGGAAAAAAAACAGCTCAAGAAAGGATCTCTTATAAAGAGGAGAAAAATGGGTCAGGCACAGGATAAGCATGCTAACTGACAACAATTGCAAACACGTGGTTTAGAGGAGACACCACAAAGGTTTTAAATGTGTCATTGGTCACAAAGTTACTTTTTGATCACTATCGTAATTGAAAATGAGCGCTGTCTGAAGCTGCCACTTAATGAGGACTACCTGTATTCCATTGTACGTTTTCTGAAATGTATCATCAGAGTTAGATGCAGCAGCCAATTTTCCTCATTTCAGCGTACAAAACATATTGAGGGATATGGAACCAGGTGTCTTTTCTTACTGACCAATTTCAAACACTTCCTCCTCCCTCTCCATAAAGTTAGAGATCAGATCGCCAACAGCTAGTTACTTTCAGTTATAATATTTTATAATATTTTACAAGATCTAGTTGCTACCACAATCAGGACAAGACTGGTGTCCTTCCTCTCTGGGCTAATTTCTTTCCAAATGTTTTACAGTACAAATAGTCCTTGACTTACGACCACAATTGAGCCCAAAATTTATGTTGCTAAGCAAAACATTTGTTAAGGGAGTTTTGCCCCATTTTACAACCTTTTTTGCCACTTTAGGTAAGTGACTCACTGCAATTGTTAAGTTAATAACATGGTTGTTAAGTAAATCCAGCTTCCCCGTTGACTTTGCTTGTCAGAAGGTTGGGAAAGGTAATCACATAACCCTGGGACTCTGCAACCGTCATAAATGTGAACCAGTTGCCAAGCATCTGAATTTTGATCATGTGACCATGGGGATTCTGCAATGGTCATAAGTGTGAAAAACGGCCATGACTCACTTTTTTTCAGTGCCGTTGTAACTTTGAACGATCACTAAATCAGCTGTTGTAAGTGAAGGACTACCTGTATTTCACTGTTTTTTTTTAATTTGAGAGATGCCCGAACTGAATATGAGAGGTGGGGCAGCCAACCTCAAATCAGATTTGTGTAGTAATTTAGCTGCTGGATCAGGACAAAAGAGATCTAGGTTGTTGTCTACCATTAGCCACATAACTCTTCTCTCAAACCTCAGCTAATTCTAGAGGTTATTGAGAATTAAAATAAGAGTCAAGAAAAGATTGTCTGGAGCTCAGGAAGAAAAAGTGGGATACAATCTAGCAAGAAAAAACATAAATTAGGGGTGTACAGTCAGATTCCCAAAGGTGACTCCACTCAGTTCCTGTTTCAGTGCTTGGATTAGTGCACAGGTATCAAACTCATGGCATCATGTTGCGATGCATCGTGATGTTTTTCCCCTTGGGGTGGGTGTTACCTGTGTGTGTCGCATCCGGCCCACAGGCCGCCAGTTTGACACCCCGGACTAGTGGATATTTTCCCTACTACTTGGTCATGGGTGAAGAGAAAGGGCAACAAATCCAGACATCATTAATCACTTAAATGATAACAGATGGCACCAGGGGTGAAATGCTCCCGGTTGGATCACCCGATCCAGTAGCGATGGCAGCGGGTGGTTCGGAGAACCAGTAACAAAAATCCCTGCGCGCTCCCCCCCCACCGTGCCCAGCTGAGCCACATGAACATCAGAGGCTTTTTTTTTTTTTTACTTTAAAAGCATTTTTTTCTACAACCTCTTTGGATGAAAAAATGCTTTTAAAAGTTAAAAAAAAAAAAGCCTCTGATGATCGTGCAGCTCAGCTGGGATCGTCAGAGGCTTTTCAAAGCATTTTTTTTCTGAAACCTCTTGGCCAAAGAGGTGGTAAAAAAAAAATGCTTTGAAAAGTCTCTGACGATCCCAGCTGAGTTGCCTGATCGGCAGAGAGGCTTTTCAAAGCATTTTTTAAAAAGCCTCTCTGACAATCCCAGATGAGTTGCCTGATCGGCAGAGGCTTTTCAAAGCACTAGAAAAAATGCTTTGAAAAGTAAAAAAAAAAAAAAAAAAGGCCCCCCCCCCCCCGGGCCATTCCCCCCCCCCCCCACCAAGCCAAGCCCACAGAACCGGTAGTAACAAATTTTACATTTCACCCCTGGATGGCACAAACGTAGATCAGGAGAATCCCATTCAGCAGTGACACAATTGAGACAGGCCTTGGGTTATGCTGCCATTGTTTTATGTCACTTCAGAAATGGGTGGACTGCATTTTAACTCAAGCAGAAAAATGTTGTTAATCACTAACTGGTGGCAACAATGTTAGGATGTGGGAACTTTAATCATCTTTTTTTAAAAAAAAATGCCTCAGTGACTTTGATTTCTTTCTGCCTTGTCTCTTTATCCTGGATGGATGGCCATTACAGCGATAGGGATTGTACAACAGACAAAATGTACAGCTCTCAAACTATGTTCAGGCACCCGTATTTGTGTGCACATTACAATACAATGGAGCCTCATCTGATATTCCAGATGATCACCGGATTATAGATGGGAAAGAATATGAAATAACTCATCTGTGTTGTTTCACCATTTTGAATTAGGCACCTTAAGAACTGGAAAATAAATATGCATGGCAGAGATACTGAGGTGAAATAGGACTTTTAGACACAAAGCAGGCATTATTAATTTTTACCTTGGTGAAACAAACATATGGAGCTGTCAGAGATTGAAAATCCACATTAAAAATAAATTCCTCACAATAATTACCTCTCCAAAGAACCTAACATTATTTTTTGTGCCTACATCCAGCCATGTATTTAAGAAGAGGAAATTGTCAGAGGCTCCTAACACAGAGGGTGGAAGGGCATCCAAAATCTGATCCACTTTTGAAATGCCCAAATGCATGACTTTTTCCAAGTCAATAAAACCATCAAATTAAAATATAATTCCTAAGCTTTTTTTGCTGTCACAAAAAAAAAAAAAAATGAAGGGGCGGAGGGGAGGTTAGATTGTCATTGAAATAGATTTTCTGCTCCTAGCTCTTAAAAAGATTTTTGATTACATTTGAGTAACTTGCAGGTTTCTCTAATGCACGACCAATAAGTTATGGCCGATGAAAGGCAACAAGGCAGAAGACAGACCAAGAACATTGGTTTGTGTGTGATAACGCAAGCTTTTTAAAACAGACAAACCACCAAACTGGACCAACAAAAGAACTTGGCTTGTTATCACTGGCTGCCAGGGCTTTGCCTTGGCACTTCAAATCCTGTCTGAAACACAGGCAAGCTTCTGGCATATTGTGTCTGTGTATGCAAGAGTAAAGAATTAAATTAAAGAGGAGAGTTTCTCCTGAAGGCAAGTCCATGTGCTCTGCGCAGTAAGTTTCCTCAGCATTGTATGATCAAACAACAGCAATAGTGCTGCAGTGCAGAGAGGGTATTCATTTAATAGCACAGAAACTCTTGTTTTTCAGTAAACAAATCCCAAACAACTAAAAGGGCAGCCGATGGGAAGAGAAGAAAGGCTATCAAAATAAGTTGTTCCTATCTTTGTTGCTGCTGTTTATTTATTCTTCATCTTCAGAACCAAGCCCTTCTCACCCAACCTTTTCCCTCTTTCTCAGGCTCTAAGTAGTAACATGACACAACAAAAGAAAACAGTGGCTCTCCTGGGATAAGGTGGATTTTTCAAAGCCAGGAGAAGACACCTGGGATTCCCCCGTGTGTTCACTGTGTGAACCCACCATTAAAGCTAGAGCAGCATGACCTCATGACCAAAGAAAAGCAGGAATAATTCAGGAAATCAGGATTGCATTTGATCTTTATTCATCTCACTTGCCTTTGGAGAGTTGTATTCGGTGATCTTCTCCTCTTCTACAGATACAATGACTGGCATCTTTCTAAATGGACTTGGGGAACGAAGGCCACACATCTCTTCCGCATCGTGGCACCATCGGTTCTCCCGAAGCACTCATCTGTAGTACAGAAAACACATAACTGTGTATGTGTGTGTGTATGTGTTTGAGAAGCTGCAATAATCTGTTTCAAGAAATGGAGATTCTGACTCAATCCACGGGTCTAGTAACAAGTGTGCAATTGCTGTGCAATAATTGTATTCAGTAAGAGGTTGACTGAAGATAGAGGGGGATATTGGATTTTGCACTTTTTAAATTTCTGTATTGGTTGTGAATGGGGTGAAATGGCTCAGCAGTTAAAGACATGGAGCTTGTCAGCTGGAGAGCTGATAGTCGGGGTTTGAAACCCAAGTGCCACATAACAAGATGAGCTCCTCTTGTTACTTGCTCCAGCTCCTGCAGTTCGAAAGCATGCAAATGCAAGTAGATTAATAGGTGCCACTTCGGTAGGAAGGTAACAGTGTTCAGTGCACCTTTGATATATAGCCATGCTGGCCACCTGACTACCAAAATTGTCTTCAGACAATTTTTCATTTCATTTATTGGATGTATATACCGCCCTACTCCCGAAGGACTCAGGGCAGTGAACAGCCACAGAATAAAACACATAAATACAAAATTTAAAAACAGAATAAAACCGAATTAAACAATTTGGCCGAGACAAATTTAAAACACCCAATGCTGGCTCCCATGGCTGAGAAACAGAGATGAGCACTGAGCCCTAGAGTTGGACACAACCGACAGAGAAATCTTTACCTTTATTAGTTCTGACACCAACTAAGATGTCTGTAAAATAAGTGGCCTCTGAATCTATGGGTTGGAGGAAGAGGAATAATCCCAATCAGTTTTCCAGGTTACTGGTCTTCATACCACAACTTCTGACTGTCTTTTTCAGTTCCTACAAAGAGCTCAGCTTTATGATAGTTAAACCAAGGTCAGCTTTATGGTGATTAAACTCTTTTTTCTGAAACTCCCTTCCCCAGAACTATCTCTGACCACAGAGCGTTACAGTTCCTTGCTATTTTGATGAAGTAATGGATTGTAAAAGCTCTAACATATTTGGGGGAGAAAACAATCCTCCAAATCAAAAGTTTATCATTTGAAAAATCCTGGGGTTCCCCCCCACCCCCGCTTTGCCTAACATCCCTGCTCACTAGGGCCCCCAGGAGTTCGAGCTCAAAACACTTCAATCAAAGTCAGAACAATCAGCTTCAAATTTGGAAGGTGGCATTTTGAACACACAATGTTTCAACTTTAACAAGTTTTACACATCTTTATCTGTTTATCCAAGTCATTAATGGAAATGTTGGAGCAGAAAGTCCAGGTCCGATATCACTGATACCCAGTCAATACTAGAAGCACATTATTGGTGAGATGGGTGGCATATATATTTAATTAATTGATAAACACCTCCCAAGTCAGCTAGGTCTGCTTAATTGCCAGATTCTCCAGGCCATCCTTACATGGCTTACTCACCAAAAATGTCATGGAATACTTTGTAAAATGCTTTTCTAAAATCAAGCTATATTATTCCCCACATCGACTAAAAAGGCTGGTTAGTCAGAACATGAGATAAGGTTAATGTCCAGTTATGATGTCTTTTTCCCTCTGTTCATTCATGTCTGATCGTAGGAGGCTGCTTGGAGAAATCCCTGCAGTTTTCTTGGCAAGTGTTTTTTTTTTTTTTTCCAGACGTGATTTGGCATTGCCTTTTTCTTAGGACCAAAAGAAAGTGACTAGCCCAAGCTCAGCAAATTACGTTTCTTCCTAAGTGGGACTAGTACTCATGATCTCTCAGTTTCTCGTCTAATACCTTAATCAACTGGCTATATTACCTCATTTTAAGGAGTTTAAAGATCAATCTCTTTATGTTCTTCTCTAGAACTTTCTCAAGCATCGGTGTTGGACTAGTAGATTTTTCTCTGGATTCTCCTTTTTCTTTCTCAACATAAGGAAAAATTTTGCTTTCCATTAATGGTCTGTCATTTCAGCCGTCCTCAAAGACATGGTTTGGCCAGCTTCAGTAACCTAGATGTAATTAATCTGACACTGAAGATTTTTGTATTATCACTTTCTGCCAAGAAGGTTGGCAACCGTTAAAAGTTAAATTCAGTTCAGGATCTAGAACTGGCTGAATCGCAATTGGGACTTTGAGTTCCCCCATCACAAAAAAAATGGTGAGGGGACCAAATTCAATATTTCTATATTGAATTTGTTTGGGTGGAAGAAAGTCTGCCTGTCACCATAACATTTTCTCCCTTCAGCTGCTTAAAAGTGAAAGGATAAAGGAGATTTTTTTTAAAAAAAAAGCCAATTAAGAAAATAATTAAGTTTTATAATATTCAGTGAGGAAAGATGGAGAACATCCAGTCTGTTTCCTTAACAGGATAACCTCAGTAAAATGACTGAAATTTGGAGAAGTAAAATTTTACATTAGAAAATATCAATAGCACTTAGACTTATATACTGCTTTATAGTGCTTTACTGCTCTCTCTAAGCAGTTTCCCTCAACAATTTTACTGACCTTAGAAGGATGTAAGGCTGAGTCAGCTTTTAGCGGGTCAGAATCAAACTGCTGGCAGTCGGTAGAAGAGCCTGCAATACTGCATTCTAACCACCGTGCCACCATGGCTCAGTGCCAAAAGACAAATTTTCAGCACAGCTGAATATTTATCCTAGTTACACACATATATACGTATATAATATGCATCAATCAAGTCAAAGATGTTCACAAACCATGTGCAGATTTATTCTTGCTTTCCTCCTTTCCCTGAAGGTAAGTAGTTAACCTTTGCCAGCCACAAAAGTACCATCTATAAGTACCGTATATAATCCATTCCTTTCAGAAAGGTCTGAAAAATTATGCCATTTTTCACTGTCGAGATCAGCAATTTGTCCAAGACAAATATAAATACACAGAGATAGGGTTGTATAGACAGACATTTAAGATAATAAATTATTCAGTTTGAACATCCTTTTCTAATTCTCAGTATTTCAGCTTCTTGATTTAACTAAAAAAAAAAAATACTAACTAGCTCTCTGAACAGTATGTTGTTTCTAAAAAGTACAGGATGTTTCTATTCTACTAGAATTCTGCACAGACTTTTTTAGCACCTAGCTGTAAAAGACTTCACTGAAGTGTAAAATTCAATAAACGTTTACTAATAGGATACTTCATTGGTTCTAGTAGAATATTTGTAATCCTGGACAATCTTTCTTTAAAGCAACTGAAGATGAACCAGAAGCATGAGACATTAGTGGCAGGGGTGGGCTGCTGGGAGTTCACAGGGGTTGAGGAGAACCTCTAGCTAAGATTCTGTGGGGTTCAGAGAACCCCCAAATCCCACTCCTGGCTGGTCCCGCCCCGCCCTGCCCACCCTGCCCCTCCCAGGAGTCCCCACATGGCCTGTTTCGGATGCAGGTAAGTGCAGGTGCACATGGAGGCTCAGGGAGGGTGAAAAATGGGCCTACCGGAAGTTCGGGAAGTCCATTTCCAGCCTCCAAAGGGCCTCTGGAGCCTGGGAAGGCAGTTTTTACCCTCCCGGAGGCTCAAGAAAAGCCTCTGGAGCCCAGAGAGGACAAAAATGCCCCCCGCCATGGTGACTAGGCCACGCCCACCATGGCCACGCCCACCCAGCAACCGGGCAGAGAACCCCTTGTTAAATTTTTGAAGCCCTCCCCTGATTAGTGGTGATCATAGTTCCTACCACTTTCATTAGAAAATGGTTCAATAATTATCAGTATTTGGATCAGAACTTTCAACAGTTATATATGGTACCAGGAACAAAAATTAATCAGTTGAATTTACTAAACCAATCTCTCTTATTTTGGTCCTCTAACTGCAGGGAACATTAGCTCCTCAACAAAATAACTGGATAATAGAGGAAAGGAAATTGGAAAAAACATGAGCTAAGTGAGGGGAGCCATTTAATGTTTGAGGGATCTTCTCCACTCTGAATCTTCGAAGATCCACAAGGAACCTGTTTCTTGTTCTGTCCCAAACAGTGTGCCAATCATGCTATTACTCATATGATACTCGTTTCATTCTCTCTTCTTCATAGTTTTGAGTTAGAGCGGAATCCAGAAGTTAATGAAGCATAAATTAGCTCAGATTATTTTCAAATGCAGACTAAAATCTCTAATAATACTAGTTAAATTGTAAGTGCTCTTCACAACTTTAATTTGTAACTAATTGACTGCAATGGGGAGAAAACTGTTTTCATCAAGGAGAAATGTTTGTGTGCCCTTACTGCTCTATTCCTGGACTTCTTCCTTGCTGTCGTTTCAAAGTGATTTCCTTCAACCTCTGATTCTTTGATAGAAGTCAAAGTAACTAGTCGGTACTAATTCTAGTCAGTACTACTGAAATCACTCCCTCTTTCACCTGGATTTTCTCCTTCCTTACTTAAAAGTATGTATACTTTCCCATGCAATGCAGTACAAATCTTTTACAAGCATATGAGCCTGTTCACTTTCATCTCTCCACCTTCAACTATGTCATATATTTTCTGTTTTTTTAAAACAGTCTGCTATTCTTGTTCTGGTGAATTAAATCATTGGATGATCTAGTTCAGAATTGGCTAAAGGTCCACTCCAACAGGTGGCAGCTCCTTTCCTGTTCTTGGAAAAATCTTATTTCCTTTTTACGTCTGTGCCCATTTATGCATGCATGAATTTATTTTTAGATTAACAGGATGAAGGAAGGATAGTTATGCTTTAAACAAACACATAATATTTGTAGTTGGAAGGAGGTATGGTGGTAATGGTAAGTAATAGCCAGCAGGATCTTACTCATCCAAAACGTTCCTTGCCAATAAGAACCCTCCTATTATATTGAAATTTTCTTTATTTCTCAGGATAGCAAAAATCCAAAGAAAACTAGTCTTCTCTTCTCCAAGCCTTTCTTATTTCAAGAAGTAGCAATCCTTCTAATCATTAAACACTAACACATGAAAACATAGGTACCATTTAAAAAAAAAAAAAGCTGAAATTTCACAATATACCCATGAATTACCCAAGAATGGTGCCCTGGATTAAAAGATGGACAGGATAAGAGCAAT